AAGGACGATCTCTTTACACGGGTCCAGTTTGTAAGGTCGAGTGACAGCTGCTCCGGTGAACCAATATAAACAGTCACTCATTTGGCTAATTAGGACACAAATGGCATTTTTATGACTGTCAAATTCCGTGTAGTTTGGCACATGACAAGTGATTGAACCAGACGGGAGATTGGATCCTTTAGACGCCAGATTCTTCGGTACGTACAGTGAGATCCTGCTACACTGAAAAAGGTAAACATATGAGGGGGTAATTGAAGAGTCGGGTTGTCAAGATTATATTCAATAAGCATTCGTTTCTTGTTGTGCAAGGCTGAAACGGAGGCAGCATTATGGAATTTTGCAATTGCATAACTTTAATCGGCGTGGCATCGACCTTTCATTTCGATTATTTTATCGTAGAAGTAGTCATGACTAAATTGTGAAAAAGATTAATTTCTCAATCAGTACTTTTCATTATTAAATGCCGATCTCAAGTAATCAGTCTTTCAATCGTCATGATTTGTCTTTGTTTCTCTTGCAATCTGTCGCTCGTTTTGTGTTTACCCGACAGGACGAGATTCGTACACTCAGTCGACGTCTGGCTCTGGCCAACACACGCTGTGATGCCGCTATGTCGGTCGCCTCACAAGCAGCTCAAGTTGAAGAACAATTGACCAATGCAATTGAAGGCAAAAAGCAGGTCACTCGTGAACTGGCTCAACTGCAACATGAGCTCAGCTCGGTTCGACATTTCTTTACCCAATTACCGGTGAATCATTTGATCTATACGACTGAGGGGCCAGAGAAGGCGTTTGAAGTGAATGTGTCCAGCTATTCACTACTAAGTACAACAGAAGCGGAACAGCTGAGCACAAAATGTCCAACAGAATTGTGCCTGTTGGAGACAGTTCAACTGGGCATGCATCGATTGGTCTCCCTCTTTTCGGAAGTAAGAACTCGCTTTAATTTTTTTTCACGCAATTTAAACGCTTACTTAAGCAGTAACTGAATGTCTGGAAAAAAATTTCTGTGGAAGCACACGACCGGTTTCGTGGTTCTTGCCGCTGGTCAGTTATGCGTATCCGGTAATCCTCAAGTCCTTCCTATATGGCTGCTGCCGACAAGAATTAAGCAGCACAAACTATATTTTAAAATCTCTGGTAGTTGTTTGGAAACAAACCAATTTAGAAGGAACATTGCGATCATGCTGTGCTAGGGTTCCGGAGTTAGATACGTCTTATCTCAGCAAATTTGGCGTTGATAAGGTAGACGAGTAGAAGAGAGGCTTAACAAACGATTACCGGATACATATACCTGACGAGCAGGAAGGACCATGGAAACGGTAGTGTGTTTCTGGGGAAATTTTTCCCAGTCATTTGTATTCTACTCATTGTAGAAACATTGAAGTGGGCGGAGTTTCGAAGCAATGCAGTTTCTGTTTTTTTATCAGATTAACTCTCAGGTGACACGGGTGATATGCTTGTTCTAGTTTACTGATCCAATATGCTATGGAGTCACATTAATTTACTCAAACCATAATTTGAGATGCACTACCTTTGCGATGCGATCGTTATAAACACATTGTCCCCGGTGTCGTATTATCGGTGTCGAAACTCTCACATATTCATGCTGCTCGTCACACATGTATCCGATAGTCCCTTCTTTGCCATTCCTAGTTATTCATCTACTTTGACCGCGAATGAATTTTTTTCATCACAAATCTCTAATCGATAATACTGGGCGTACTTTTTTTAGAGGTACAGCCTGAGCGATGTTTCGAAGCCATTTTTGTGTGTTACATGCGACCTGCCGCGATCAGATTTATTTGAATGCCATTTATCAAGAATTTTATATTATGTGTTATTTGAGTGAAATTTTATTCAGTCATTTATCTAGCGTGTGTGAGTTCAATTCTGACAGTTACGTCTCTTTCCCTATACTCTGTAACCAACCCCTCACCCACCCCCACCGCGCGTTATTGTTATTGTTGATATTGTTGTGGCGTTGGTACCAAGCTTGTTCTCAAGCCGGTTATATA